AAGTCATTGGATAACTGCTCTTTTTAAAACCTTTTTGTCAGAACAAGATTATTCAGGCAAAGGATTACTTAGAATTACTTTTTAGTGACTGAAACACAGCCACAGAAAGACAGATTTATCTCAATTTTAATGTGGAGTTTCTCTGTATTTTCTCAAGGATGCTTGGGGGCAGAATGTCACCCGAATGAGCTACTCCCTACACTAACCAGAAGGTGAGTGGACTTTACATCAGCATCCTTACTGAAGAGAAGGCTGAAGGATCACTTTTGCTGGTGAATTTTGCTGCAATGTTATGAGGGGGTGAAAGAAGCTCTTTAAAAAGAGAGAATTATAAACCAGAATTGTCTCTGATCACATGCGACTTCAGAATAACAGGATATTCAGAATAATTCTTACTGCATCACTTTTAGAGCATCCCCGTCTAGTTCTGCAGCACTTACTCCACCTCACTTTTGTTCAAAGTGAAGAACATTTCTGACCTTATAAATTCAGTATGTAGTGCTTACATCCTTATTTTAAGAAGGAATAATTATTCTGCTTGTCATGTTATCTTAAGTGGTTTACATATTTTACTTGTGAAATATTAGTGTGTGTATATACATATACATACACACACTCTACATATATGTGTAAGAGAAAAGTTTCTTTTTTGTTTTCATCCAAAGTTTCTTTCCAGGGAAGGCAACTATTTCTAGGTTTTTATAAGCTGATGGAACAGGCTTGTCAAATAGTCTTTATGAGAGAAGAAACAGGAAGATGGCTTGCTTTGCAGACAGAGGGTTATTGGGCAATTATGGTTTTTATAGAGCTGTTGTAGGACAAATCACGGGCCTGCTTTTGCCTTTGATGCTACGAGGCAGACGGCCCAATAAAGATCAGAACAAGGGAGGGCAAAGGGGGTCAGGGACAGCCTTCCCTTGGGGTCCCGCTTCTGCCTCTTAGCTCAGAAACCAGACACCCCTTCCAGATGCTTTGTAGCCACTCATCATGAGGCTTCGTTGTGACCCTCCCGATGGGCTGGGATGTGAAAACTGGGGAGGGCTTCAGCGTGTTTTCACTCTGTAAGGCTATTTAGAAGCTTACATGGGTGTTGGTGGGAAAGCAGCCCTCTATGGTGTCTTGTCAGAACCAAGCATATTGTTTACTCTCATGTGTGTAAAAAGCCATCATATAAAGTCTAAAGCAGCTTAGACTGTGTGAAAAGAGCTCAGGCATAGCTGTGCAACTAACAAAACTCTCCCTGCATGTGTCCCTGTTTTGATATCTATTTCCTTTTGTCCTGTCTGAACTCATCTTTCAGCTATTCTCTAACTTGTCACAGTTACAAAGAATTCTTTTAAAGGGCAACTAGTCCTATCAGTTTCTATTGTATTCCACGTTTATCTGTAGCATTTGGTAGTGGTGCCTGTGTGAAACACAATCTTGTCTTCCATAAAGTACAAATTAGTCTATGCCAATTCTTTTATATATAAAGATTTAGTAGAATGGTATGTTTTGTGATGGGGATTCATCATGTGCCCATATGGGGGACACTGGGGAAATAGCAACTTTGAATCTTCAACTGTTTATGCTGTCATTTAGAGATAATTCAGTTGAACAGTTCATTCCCAATATAGAACAGATTAAATAAATGTGAAGAAAATGAAGTGCTTGCACATTTAACATCAGTATGCCTTTCCTCAGCTTTCACAGGAGCTCATGAGATGACCCTAGCTGCTTTTGTTCAACTTTATTTTCCTTTGAGACACCTAGATGGCATTAGTAAGGTAGAAACCATGCTCACACAAATGTTAGGACCAGTGTACTAGAGTTATCTTTGGGCATATCCCACTATCCTCTCAGGCAGGTGTGACTGGGATAAGCGGCGGAGCTCAGAAATACTGGGGAATGTTGCCTATATCTTTGACACTTTGCTGACCAAGCAATAAAATACATGCACAACAACAAAAGTGCAATTAGGAAATGCTTTGGACAACAGATCTGTTAGAACAAAATTGTTTCAAGGAGTTAAAACCATGGCTCCATTACTGAAGAGACAGTTCCTGTACCAATACTTAGTGAGGGTTTCTAAACTGATCTATTTTGATGAATTTCACCACTATTTTCCTTACAACTAAAGTTTTAGCACCGAGGTTGAAGAGACTAGGAAGAGGAAATTAAAGGCAGGACAACTAGAATCACACAAGTATACACAGTGTATATTACGGCATACTCTGTGTGTGAGTAGTGTATTTTGACCCTTGACTTCCCTGCTGAACTGCAGCATTGGAATTGCCATCAGATTCGGAGCCCTGTACCAGAGCTCTGCACAGGATATACAGGATTCATGTTTCCATTCTCATAAGATTCCTAACTACTTTGGAATATAAGACTTCATGAAAAAGTAAAGTTTCCTATATAAGAAAGTAAAGGTTTGGGGCTCAGGAGGCCCTACTTCCTGTTGGAAGTCTGAAAGTCTTGAATATGGCTCAATACAGGGTTTAAATCTTTACCTCCAATCCATATAGAGCCCATTGGCTGAGCAGCAGGTCCCTGACCATCTGAAGAATTCCAAGAAGTGTCCCTTAGGCCTCTTCCAGCACAGTCATGGGCATGAGCCAGACAGAAGCACCAAGGACCATGCCTGAGACATCTTGAAGACTTAAATAACTGTAAACTCCCTGCCCTCCTCTCTGCCTCTGCCCCCAAGTGATGTTTGACTCTGTAATTCACCTACCTTTGGAAATCTGCAGAATGTCACCTGTGACAGCTCTGCTGACAAGCAGGGGAGATCAGAGCCTTTCATCTGGGTGATGAACTGCCAGCCTGTCAGAACAGCAGAGTATCTGCACTGCGGTGAGGCAGGTCAGAGCTGCCGCAGGGCTCTGCATTCTGACCTGGGACAGGCTTGAAGAGGACTTTCTGCTATAGCTGTTCTTAACTCTCAGGGTCTGCAGGACAGTAAGTAGATGTGTTCTTGTAAAAGAGACTCATACTGATATACAGAAATGATACATTGCTGAGTGCACACATGGGTTGGACAGTTCTAGAGATCAGGCTCCCCCACTGCCTACAATCATACTCCTTTTCTGCGATAAGAACCTCCCACATTGGATGATAATTGGTACGTAGGTTCCAGAAACCGATGGTGAGGTAGCTACATGAAAAATTCTCTCCTCCTTTAAAAGAGGAAACATCCAAGTACGAAGCCTGAAGCATGGAATTATTTACCCAGAGTTGTAACAGTTTGATCCACCTGTATTTCTGTGTGTTTTAGAAAGCATCAACAGTAGTAGCTTGTGCTCCGTAGCCTGGTGGTCATGCATAAATTCCACTTTTCTAGGTAGAATAGTGTCATTAAAACAAAAATCTCTTAAGTACTGACAAGGATGAGGGAGAATACAAGGAAATCCATGGCCTTTTTTTCCAGTTAATGTGGTCTATTTGCTTTCCCCGTGCTTGTCCTTTGGGCTGTGGCCTGGATGTCCATGTACTCAGTTCCACATTGCAACTTACTGACATTGAACCATTTTGGGGGGCAAGCAGGAGATGATGGAGGAAGAAGATGACAGCAATGCTAGAGAAAAGAGTAGGAGCATGACATTTTGTTCTGTCATTGGAACATTGAAGCATTTAATTTTTGATTGCATTACATTTTCAGTATTGTAATAGCACTTCATTTGGTCCTTTAGCGCTGTCTAGATATGGAAAGGGAGGAGGAAGAGGGGATAGTCTTCTATTATGTAGAGACATATTCTAGTTCAGAGTTAAGCTGTTACTGTTCAGAAGATGAAGCTAGAATAAGAAATTCCCAGACCTGATTTAGAAATGTAGGATGTACCTGATACCCAGATTTTTAGATAAGAGCCTAACAAGACTTCCTGAAGCACTCCCATTTGCAGTTTGAAGCATCTATGTATTTGAAAGTAGTCTGTCCAGAGTTGGCTTTTCCTAAGCACCTTCCACCAAAAGGAGATAATTTCCCATGGTTTAAGCCTCCATTCCTTTGTAGTATTGTCATACAGTTTACAAAAGAAAAGGACCTGGCTGTAGCTTGCTAAAAACTTCTACATGTATTAAATACCTTATGTATTAAATACTGTACCCTTGACTATCAGAGGCCAAGAATTAACATTCTGTAACTCGTCTTTGTTATCATACATGGCTCCAGCTATTTACTCAGCACCTTCTAAAGAAGACAGAAGCCAAACTCAATGACACAGAATTCTTTCAGTCAAAACAGAAGGATAAAAATAGCTTTAGTGAATGCAGCCACTCACCCATATGCAAGTTACCTCTAGGAGTGAGGGTGCCTGGAATATGAACTCTGAAATCCTGTTCTGTATGACACCATCTATACAAGAACATCACGTAACTGCTTAAGGAATTTCTCAACATGTCCTCCTCCAGCTTCACTGGATCTGATCTTTAAAAAGAGAAGGATTTTATCTGCACATTTGGTATCCATTCATGAAAATACATTCTGGGTTAGGAAAATACAAACATGTTTACCACTCATCCCTCTTAGTAGGAAACAGCTGAACTGCCAGCTGAGAGGTGTCCATTCCCTTCAGCTTCTGTTAGGAAAGACAGGATCTCCCACAGCTAAGCTTCTTGATTCAAGGGGGTGTGTGTGAGGCCGGTGTGTGTATGCGTGTGTCTGACATCCAACTGAAGTTATAAGAAACCAAGCTCAGATTACACTAAATTGTTGATTTTGTTACTAAAAGGAGGCAGAAAGTTCTCTATAGAATTAAAAAAGAAACAGCCCAACTCAAAACAAAACAGACTTCGCCATTTATGTTCATAAAAGCACTTACCAACACTCCTTTGCTTATAAACTCTTCTTGAAAGCTTCCACCAAAGAACTTAGAAGGCCCAGTTTCATTCCGCATTTCTATTAGAGGTTAACTGAGCCCACATCTAACCCCTGATTGCCTGAACAATGGACTACAGTTAGTCTCTCTTGTGCCAGGGCTTAATGTTTTATTTAATAAAAACCTGAGTGATCAAGAGCATCTCTTTCCCTAGATATCCAACAGCCTCCTGTCAGTGCTTTTATAAGGAAGATGCAAGATACAGGGTTAAGTCAAGAAGTGAATGACTGCTTAAGCCAAGGTATTAGTTACAAGGATGAAGACTTTGTCAAGGTCTCAACTGTGTTAATCCCTCCCTTCAAGATCTCAACTGTGTGTTAATCCCTCCCTTCAAGATCTTAACTGTGTGTTAATCCTTCCCTTCAGTTGAAGCTCTTGTCATCTCAACATTAATTTTTTGTCACATCAGAATTTTGCTGAGAAATTTTCCTACCTTAATCCATTACAGATGCACTTTTCTGCATAGATCTTGACTGTGAGGAGTCGGTTTCAAAGCAGAGATGGAAGAGGTAAGAAATGTGGCTTTCACTCAGGTGAAAACCTGTTACGAGAGCATTAGCCATCTATCTGTAACATCCCTAACTCCTGGGAGGACTGAGTTGGTACAAGATTAGTTTATACTTTCCTTGCCTTGTTTCTTACAAGCTTTCCATTTGCATCTGCTAATGACCATTGTAACAGACAGGATGCTGGGATAGATTTAGCTGTGATCTAATCTAATGTGACTCCACTTGCGTGATTTGATAGTGGCTCCAAGACGCTGTCTCTCCAGTGAGAAGATTTACAAATAGTCTCAGTCAGTGAAGTTTATGGAGCTGTGTTGCACATAAGCACTTGACAGAAGGACAGTGACTTTGTTCATCTAAAGGAGAATTGAGAGGCCTCTCGAGGCAAGTGCCTCAATGAAGAGCAAGTGCTATCATTGTTCTTTTCTCTCTCCCTAAATTTAAGACACTGAACTGTTAAGATCAGTTGCCTCAGGTTAGAATGTTTCTCAGTGATATAACAGGATACTCTTCTTCTGTGGAAAGTCCCGTGTCTAACTAGTTACTACCTCCTTGCTGCTAGCGATTTATTTAGAATGGCAGGAGACGGAATTCCCCTTTCAAGCTTTCCATAGTAGACAAGGAAAAGTGACTCCAGCTGTTTGTTGCTTTTTTGTTGCACCCCTTTTCTTTAATTCTTTCTAAATGTGTTTTTGCTTATTCATAGCCCAGTCGAGTGCTTCACCTATGTCTGTTTTCCCCCTCCTGGTTCCCTCAAATGTACTAAGGCAGGTCATAAGTAAATTGCAGGTTAGCGTGTGAATGCTAAGTCAGCTGGACTAGTAGTAAAATGCAACAAACAGGACAGAGCAAGATGTTTCTAGGCAAGTGTTGATCACAAAGACAATCTGCTACAACCAGTGGAAGGCAAACCTCAAATATACCTTTAGATATCACAGAATAACCTCAATGAGAAACTCATAACAGCTTGAAATGTCAGAGATACAATCTGCTGCATTTTGAGCCTCTCTGCTGCTCTGTTGGCACAACAGAACCTTACAGGACTGGCAGAAATGGCCCAGGGGAAACTACTGCATGGGAGGGCTTTTTCTCATCACCCAGTCCTTATGTCTACATCACTGAAACTTAAGAAGGATGGAACATAAGAGGGACACTGAGAAATAGGAGGAATATGAAAGTGATAGGATGATTCTACACTAATGCTATGGAGCAGCCCCTGAAAAGCAGGTGTAGTTAGAATAGAATAATGTGAAGGTGTATATCAAAGTTAATGTCTAGCATTAAGGACCAAGTGTAATTTTCCATATCTGTCTCTCCATTAGGAAGGGAACAAAAACATCTGCCCAAGCTTTTCTTAAACCTTTCCTTGTTACTTTCCTTTTTAATCACCTCTTCAATTCAGGTGTTTCAAACATCTCCCACACGTCCTGCAGAACAGTGAAATATTATACCTGCAGTGTTTGATGAATTGAGAGAAAAGTGCTTAAACTCTTCAATTAGCTGCTTTTCCTTCAATCTATCTCCCTCCTCCTTACCTCTAAGAGTTGTTAGTGACACCACATTAAACTCCCTCTTGCTATGGGGGCAAGACTAAAGTGCATAAGGTCAAGAATGGGAAGGAAAAAGGAAGGGAAAGAATGGGATATTTGTGCAACTATAAAGTAAGCAGGTTCAAAGTGTGCATTTTACAAGAAATGCACAATGTTATAAGGTCATTCATATCCTGCTAGCTGTGCTCCAAAGGCTTGGAGGGTCTCAATGGCCTTGTATCCTGACTGAGCTCGCTTATCTTACTCAGGTCTGACCAGCTCGTATGTACCTTATTTTCCTTCTCCAAGGCTTTTAAACAATCATCCAGCTGTGTGATTTCCAAGTACCTTCCACAGCCATACCTATAGCTGCCACCAAACCAGTGGTGCTGGATCCCCAAAACTGATAGATCTGCTTTGCTACCCTGTCATTTAGGGTTCTGTCGCTAGACCCAGGAGCTGATGGGAACGTGACATAGGTGGAAGAATCTTAATCTTAAAGCAGCCCTCTGTTTCCCCAAATAAAATCATCAGAGAGGGGCTTTCCTATCCTCTTTGTAGAAAGAATGAGCTGAAATCCCATTTCACCCTCCTGTTCAGGACTGCCTGCCTGTACCTGCTCCTCCTGCCTCTGCTGGTCTGGTGTGTGTGTTTGGAATGAAAGATTTTCCCTGCAAGCCACCCTGAACCTCTTACCTGGCCTGTCAGAGTCTTTTATCAACACAGGTTTCTCAGTGGGCCACAGTGATTTACTGTCCAAATAGTGCTGTTCTGTGTCAGAGATTGTGATTGAAAAGCCTCACTTTGCAGCTACTAAGAATCTCTATCTTTTCCCCTCTGTTCTTTTTTACCTTTTCAAACATTGTTTTACGAGCCCATTGCTATCTGCCTGACACAGGAGCTGTGCCTCAGGGCAGCATTTTCTCACCTCTAAGCCAGAGGGTTGCTTCTTTGATGCTTGGTTTGAAGAGCTTGGAAGAACTCCACATAGGGTATCTACCCTGTCTCCCTAGGGCAATGTACTCAGGTGAGGAAAGTTTCCTGCATGGTTAAAACTGGCATTCAGGGCATTACTTTTTTGTTTAATTTTTTCCCTTCCTGAGACAAAAGAAGGAACAACTCTTACCTATTTGAACCAGGACACAAGCTTTCCAGTCTGGGATCAATGCATGAGAACATTCAGAACCTACTCAAAGGAAGCCAGGTTTTCTGGAAAGAATAGACACAATCCTGATTTTCTGAATCCCAAACAAATGCAGTTCAGAGTCCTCAGAACCTTTTAAAAAATCAAAGAAGATGTCTCTAAGTAGAGAGTACCAGTCTCCTTATCAGTGGGTGTGATTCCACGTTTAAATACAAAATGGTAGCTGAATGCAACCAGAATTCCCATTCCTGAGCTGCAAGTGCAGGATCTGGGTTCAGATGCACATAGCTGGGGTAAGTTAATCTAGCCCTGGTTTAGCCCGATTAGTCCATCTTAATCTACTTAATGCTACTTAAAACATTGGGATCCACTTCTGAACATCCATTTTGGTCAAAATTTAAGAAACTGGAGAATCAGAGTAACCTTAAACATTAAGAAGTCCATAGGTGTTAGATGATGGGTCAAGCCTTTATGTGACAGTCCAGCATACACCTGGAGTACATCTCTGAAGGCTTGCTTCGTTTTGGCTCTAGTTCAGGTTGAGTACTATCAGTACATACACATCCTTAACCGAAAGGTGACACTTTCCCGATGGTTTCAGTGGCTCTCTGCAGTGCATATGTCCTTCTCACTGAAACACAGGTAATGAAGATCCACCGCAAACCACTCAGGTTAACTTAACTAAGGCATCCTGAAAAGCGAAGGATCAGTACAGGAAGTTCTCCTTGGCTTTTCAGTACATCAGCAACAGTCTCAGAGTTCATTTCTCTCTTAGGTCTTTAAAGGACCAACACTATGATTGGTCTACCATGCTATGCTGGGAAATATTCTGAATGCTTTTGTTGGGCACAAAGATTGAAGTAAGAACTGAACATCAAAACAATTTATAAAGACTTGACATTTATCAGACGCTTGAAAACGGCAACATTAACAGGAATGGGAAAATGCTTGATAGATATATATATATATATATACACACACACACACGTCTAAGGTTAAACTTCAAATGCTCAGGCACTTTGTTCTTAAGAGGTCAACCCAGCAATCAGGGAAGGGGACTGTGGTGTACTTCCGAAAGAGACAACTGTCCTTTCACCACCCCACAACTTCAGTTACTACCTGTCAAGGTTATACACAAGTAAGAAAGGTGATTTTGGGGCACTGATCGAGCAAACCAGACATCCTACTGCTTTGTTTTCATTAATAGCTTTCCATCAATTGTGCTGGTTTCAAGAAGATTTCATCCTGTCCCTGCCTAAAAGCTTGAATACTGAAGCTATAACCAAAAGGAAGAAGTCCTGTCTTGGGAGGCTTTCACCCCTGTTGAAAGATTTAGATAACAGCCAATAAACAGATGCTGCAAATACTTTGCATCTTTAATTCAAACACAGATACAACAAGTCAGAGATGTCCAGTTGGTGCTGTTTCAAACACAAGGCAATGGAGATGTCTAGGCTGCTCCTAATTCCACTCTAAATGGATATTTTCCCTTATTTCCCCCTCTTGCTTCACACTGAGGCATGCAAGTGTATATTTCACTATTCATCTTCATACTGTAAAAGTGTGTATTTTACCTTATCATTTTTCTCAAATGCATGTTATTATCTTGCTGTACACCTGAATGGTGATCTGACAGCCTATCATTTTCACATGTTAGAACACATTTTAAAGTGTCTATTAAAGGAGCCTGTTCTTAACACCAGCACCAGCAGCCTTCAACAGGGCTGCTTATTAATCATCATTCACATAAAAAGCTGTTTCCTTTGACTGCACAGCAAGCAGAAGCAAAAGAAAAGGGCAAAAAGGTAAAGATGCAGAGATTCTTTGTGATTTACTTAAGTGCAGTTGTAGCTTGCATGCCATCTCAAGAAGCAATCTTGTCAAATTCCATACATTTTCTACAGAATTACAGAACAATCAAGACTAAGAGCTCCTAAGTAAATGCAGCATTGCAGCTAGTGCACACAGAGCATGGCATTCAGGGGGTGGCATGGTTACTAAGCATCCTGCAGCACTCTGCAAGTACAGGGGTACCAGTCCTGACAGCCCATCCAAATTCCAGCTGCAATTATATCTGTTAATGTCTCATTGAATTGTCAATGGCTACATCATTCTTTCCTCTCTGTCCTGAGCTGTGGCTTAACATTACCCCATCACGTTAAATGGCTGCCAGTTTCTGCCCTGAGGGTGGCTGCAGTGGAGTGGTTGATTGGTGCTGCTCCTTGTTCAACCAAATACAAGCTTGAGCCCTTGCTGAAGCAAAGACCTGCTCCAACTGTTCTATTGGATTGCTCTTGGAAGGAAAGCAAACATGGACTTCACAACTGGCTGCAGAGTGTGCTGGTACCAAGAAAGGCAAGAGTACCTGTGTATTGTATTTGCTGTTTGACTGAAGATCCAGAGACTTTGTGTAATCTGAAATGGGCAAATACATTACTGATACACTGTGAAACTTCACAAACTAGACCAGATTAATAGCTCTCCATTTGTTTTCTTTCTGAAGCCAGGAAACCTGATCCTGAGGTAATAGTAATAATAATAAAAGCCCTTATGCTGAAAACTCTTTCAGTAAGTAACTCTTGAAGCCTATGAGATGCTTTCCAATTGACTTGAGTGAACTTTGGCTTGTGCCAGTTAGCATCCAGCATAAATCTGGGTTTTCCCATTTGGTTGTTATGTTTTCAAGCTTTGGAATTAGTATATGGCTGAAGTAAGAATGAGCTTGATATTGACAAACTCTTGTTGTGTAGAAGCAGAAAACACAGATGTATACCAGTAAGTAGGAAGAAAATGCTACCACCTGTGACTTGGATGAGTGACTCCATTCCCTGACACTTGAGGGCAGAAATGCATACAATTTTTGTAAAGCACCTTGAAGTGTGCAGGTGAACAGTGTTAGACAAATGCTACTACCAGCCAAGCACAGGGAGGCCAGTGTAATAAACTCAGCCAAACTCAAGATTTAAACTGATATGTAAGAGTTGGTAATGTACAAAAGTCTGAAAGACAACTAATCCAAATGTCATACATAAAAATCCATGTAAGGTGCCTGTGCTCATTACAAAGAGTTTGTTTGATGTATTTTATAAATCACTCAAAAATACAGTCCTTGATTTGGTATACAGTGTAAGGGAAACCTGGTAAATCCTGAAATCCCATGCAGCCAGATTAACCTTGCCTGATGTAGCAACAGTGTCACTGAGTTTGGAGGACTATGAGCAGCACAATACTGTGGCCATAAAGAACAGTTTGTCTCATCTTCATCATACTGGTGAACTCCTCCAGACACCAGTTTCCAACTTTTAAGGAAATGATCATTGGAAAAGAGATGGCTAGTCTAGGAATTAAAAAGTGCATAACCACAAAGGAAACTGCATTGGGAGAGTCTGAGCAGAAATGTTCTCCCCTATGTCTAGCAACCTGACTACCCTTTGCAAGTGCTTATCATGTAGTATTTATAAGAGCAGACTTGAAAGTAAGTAACCTAGACTTCTTGCTTTGTGATTAATTCCTGCTCAGAACAATATAAACAGAGTATTTTTTGGATTATATTTTCCCCATGGAGTTTAAAGTTATAATGAAAACCCAACCAGAAATACAAAAGCAAATATTAAAACCCCCAAACAAACCAAGAATTGGACTCCAGGTTCAACCACCTGCCTCAGCCACATGAGAAACAAGCAAATTGTCATGTAGTTAATGAATATTCCAGATTAAACCCCCTAAAAAACAGCCCTTAAAATACCCAGGGGAGCAACAGCTGGTCAGGTACTCAACTCCAGCTACTGGAACTATAAAGTCTGAAGCTGTTCAGCAGCAAGTAGCTATCTGGGTTGTCAGAGCAGGATGGGATTGATCTTCTCAAGTTGTATTGAAAACTGCACAGGGAAATAGGGACAACTCCTATTTCTTGATAAAGGTAAGACCTGAATAAGGAAAACAGCTCCCCTTTAGACATTACCACTTTCTAATTGGTGACAACTGTTACTACAGAGTCCTGCTTTTGAAGATATGGGTCTGTATCTAAAAACATCACCCAACCAAGCCTTAGAAAGGCCACGTGCATCTGCTAGAATGAACCTAGCAAAGGGCTTCTCCAGCACAGCATTTCAGTATGGGTTGAATATCACACAGAAGCAGCTATCATACTGAATACCACACCAAGGGCTTGGAGTCCTTTCCTCTTCTAACACAAGGTCACTTTGCTACAGTGACTTGCAAGACAGCAGCAGACTCACTGTCATGCAGCTGGACTATCAGTGCAAGCACTTGTAATTTCTCCCAAACTTTGAGAAGCATTCATGCATTTAATTCTGTAGGAACAGCCTGCCACTCTCCTTCCCCACAACTGCACACCCATTTGAGAGCAGGGACCTTTCAAAAGGGTACCAAAAGACTATTTAATATATGAGGTGCTGGTTGTTATGTTCTTCTTGAAGCAAGAACTTCTGTCAGTGAAGTTTTGTTCCTTCAAGTCAGATCTGAATTTGTTCTATGTATACTAAGTATTTGTGCCATCTGCCTGGAAGTGCTCAGTATTAGTGATTGAGAGATTGCACTGTTTCCGTGGCCCTCATGTGTGGCGTTTCTCACCCTTCCCTGTATCTGAGCAGCATTTGAGGATGAAGACTTTAATGAACACTGGCATCTCAGTCAGCTGCTGGTGGCTGCCCTCTTGGCTCAAAGCAGCAGCTCTGCCCACACTTGCAGCAGAGGGTAAGAAAAAAGAGGAAGAGGAGACCCATGTGTGCAAAGATGCAGAGATGTTCCTTTTTTAAAGCTGTGGTGCAGCAGTTTGAAGAACTGAGCTCCCTAGGCTTCAGGACTGCCTAATTTTGTCAGGCTCCTAATTGTCGAACCAGCAGTCAGCATTTTAGTGTCCTCTGCAGTTTTTGTGTTGCTCGTGTCAGAAAGGATGTTGTTTGTCAGCCAAGTGCCCACTGGCACAGGCACTGAAAGTGTCCAAAATGCCAGCTGCAATTAGGCATTTCTGTCCTGACACCCCCCAGTGTGTGCATGGCAAGAGCAGCTTCTCTGATCTCAGCAGTAACTAAACACTTGTCTTTCCTCAAATACTCACACTTTACAAATGGAGGCCCACAACACAGTTTCAGCATGTTGATAGAAATATGACCCTTTTGCACATCCATCCAGAGACAGAACTAACCTCATTTCTGTCCGCTGATTGCTCCAAAATAGTGATTTACTATGCAAAAGCTTACTTGACGCTTGGCTCCCCGTTACCAAATACATCCAATTGCAGGGGCAGAATGTGTCTTTATTTACTTTAAAAGCCCATGTTCACCCAGCAGAGCAAGTACCATCAAGAAAAACAGTGCACTGGATCTTAGTGTCTCTGACTCATGGCAGAGCTGACATAGGTCTTACTCCTGCCCATCACCACTGTCCACAGATAACATGCGACTGGTGCGGTTCAACACACAATTTGGCCTATAAAAGTTAAACTGATAAGGGGTTGAGGCAACTGCCCCTCCCATTTCAGTGTGAGCTACAGCCTGTATGCATTTAAAAGGCAGAAGCTCTTCCCTGTGAGGGTGCTGAGGCACTGGCACAGGGTGTCCAGAAAAGCTGTGGCTGCCCCATCCTTGGCAGTGTTCAAGGCCAGGTTGGATGGGACTTGGAGCAAGCTGCTCTAGTGGAAGGTGTCCCTGTCTGTGGGTAAGGTGTTTGAAACTGGATGAGCTTTAAGGTGTCCTCCCAACCCAACCCATTCTATAATTCTATCATTTATCTTGATTTCTCAGAGCCAGCAGTGAAAGTTGCCATCATTTTACTTGCAAAGTAAGCACATGGTCCAAAGTCTTTTCAATGCAACAGAAAACAGTGCTGCCTTCATAGTTACTTTCACTGCAGAATGGCCCAGGAGGCTGTTGCTCTAGTCCTTGGGGTTTGTATGCTCCTCAGAGTTACCACCTCAGGTGACTTATCAGGTTGTGACATTCAGCTAACTCAGTACTTCATCCTGTGCAAACAGAAGGTTTTTCTCCTTGCTGCCAAGCAAGCAGGTTTAGCTGGAGCAGATTTGCTCCCTTCAGCGATGCAGGAGGCAGAGGGCTGGAGCAATAAGATCCATTATAGAAATGTTTTTGTATCTCCTGGTCGTGGACTTCTAAGAAAAGGAACTAAGATTATCACTACTGAGAAGAGCACTATAATTGTAGCTCCTGAGCAACGCATATAGAAGATTGCCAAGGCAACCAATCATTCCACAGCAAGGGCAGAGGTAGTTGAGTTAAGATGAGGTTGTTACAAACCCCTACTGTGCATAATCATATAGTAAGCAACATTTTTAAAAGGCTCTTGTAAAAAAAGGACAGAGGAAAAAAGGAACAAGAGAAATTAATTTCCTCTATTTTGCTGCTTGCTCACTTGATTGAGGTACAAGAGCAAATTATATGCATGTCCTGCACCTGAGGACACGGGGGACTGACAGGGAGCAGCTAGCTGCTTTCTTCACAGATACAATGCAGATCCTAGCACAGAGAGGGCAATAGGCTAAATTCATCTGCACAAAATATTGTTGCATTTCTAAGGTGTTTTTAAATACGAAGTCTCTGGACACCAGTGCTCCTTTAATGCAGAAGTTTAAGTCTTTGCTGGTTTTGTTACAAACTAGATTCTTGGGGAAGTGTTTGAAGTCAACAATCAGTCAACAAAGGATCTTTTTGTGAGTATGATTTACTCGTGAAATCAGAGATTTGCAGATCAGATCGCTAAAAATTTAAAGGGTATGTCCACAACATCCTTCCATCAGCAGTAAGCTCCTCTGAAGTAGTTCTTACCCTAGAATCCCCCATCCCATCACTCCCAGCTACTTCTCCAAGTTGCTAGAAATCAGCTGTTATATCCGTACAGCGATTCAGAGGGCTAGATGATCAGCTGAAACAGATACGTTTTTCTGGTTCAAAGAAATCTTTGTGATTCAGTCTATACTGCTGCCTCACATACAGTTCACCTGCATAACTGAAAGCAGCACTCAAGGCCATGACTAAGTACCCCTAAAGTGCATTTACTGCCAAAAACATCTGCCATAGTACCTCACTGAACAGGACTAAACACTTCTCTCATTATGACACTGCTTTCTTCCAGTGACCTTTCCTTCCACTTACACAAGGAATAATTACTGCTTCACAAATGGCTATTTCCATTGGGTTTGCTTCTTTCCTGGTTTGAGTCATGTTCAGTCGCTGGCTCCTTTGCTGTTTGCAAACCAGAGTGGTAGCATTCTAGACCCACTTGGCAAATTCCAGTTTCTAAGTTTAAGTGACCCCTGTTTTCTAGAGCTAGATCTGCATCCATCAGATTTTTCCACTCTCAGCAAGAAAAAAAGCACCACCCAAAGAAATTTCAACCCCTGCTGATACAACACACATGTTACTCAATGGTACTTACTATTCATTTCCTCTACATAGGACATAGAGCATCATGCATAGCCCAGTATGAAAGACACTGTACTCAGCAGCACCAAAAGGAGGAGGATCAGAGTGGAATTGTGTTTCTCAGGCTGGCAGCAATGTGTGACATACTGGACAAATCACTGCTCCATCCATCCCTCTGCCCATCTCCTGCTTTCTCAGAAGTCATGGAGGTGTCACGCAGTGACTTTACTGGGGGAGATGTCACATGCACAGATAACCTCCCACCAGCCCCCCAGGAGTACTTCCATGTTTAGGGGCTTGGCATGCATAGAAAGTCCTTTTCTTTACATGTCCAGGAAGTGGAATTGCCATGTGTATTCCCTTATCAGTAGCCAACTGCATTTATCTTGCAGTCAGGTCCTTGTCACACTACTCATTTCCTTGGTGTACAGCCCCTGCCTGTTAAAGCCAAGACAGACTCACCCCATGAAACCAAACACATGTGAGCATCGCAGGCCTCAGAAGTGATATTTACCCATGATCGTCCTACAGTGATGTTATTTGTGCTGCATAATTCAGCAATTGGATTTTAACTGAACTTGGCAGTGTACTAGAATCTTGAAGCACAGCAGGAGTTTGATATACGCTCAAGATCCTGAAAGTTACTCTCCCTGTTTTGTTAAGGAATAGCATCAATCCTCCTGCCACAGCATGAAGTTTTGCTAATCGTTTTTCAGTCTGCCAAGTTACAGCAAGAAGGAAAGAATCCAATTATGGTATAACATGCAACATTGCATTAACCACACTTCAGTCAAGTATTTCTCTCCTGTGCTAACAGCTATAGCATGGTATTTGACACATACTTAATCAGACAAGAATAATAGTGTTATGTGGTTTATTTCCTCTAAAAAGACCAACAATCTTGATCTTGAATTAGTCCTCAGGAAGCCTCAGTTTGCATGGGATGGCCACCTCTCTCAGTGCCTTTGGTGCTGCCCTTCTTTGTAGGCTTAACTATCTCTTTGCAGAGAAACAGAGGGGACTTCCTGCTGCTTCCAGAAGTTCCCCCTATGGTGTTAAGATCATTGTTCTTTCTTCAGCACACAGTCTCCTCCTTGATGCTGTGGTAAGGCTAAGGCAGGGTATAAGACAGTAGCTTACTTTCTTGGAATGCCAGTTAAGTTTTCTTCCAGACAAACCATTCTGAGAAGAGCTAAACCAAGAGAAAAATCTTACTTGACACTACTGAGTGTTGAAAGGGAGAAGTGTATGCAACAGGGTAGAGCTCACTGAAGGAGATGCACAGGCTGGTACAAAGCGCAGAGAGATCCAACTATTTTTGAACTCATTATCCCACTGTCTTTATTTGTATAACCTGAAACCAACAACTGCAATTATTATATCTGAAAACCTAAACATAAACCCTTGTGAAAGAACAGATGCTGGTTGAAAAAGCCCACTTGATAGAAAAACCAAAGCACTGTGGCAGCCTATGACTGTTGCCTGAGAGTTTGCCCTGGAACAGTCTTAAAGTGTCACATGTAATAAACATGATCAAGCCTGCTTTAGTGATGATTACAGAGCTGATCAGTATTCATACAGGTATCTAGTGTCAGACAAACTACAGAGAGAGCTTTCCTGGCCTGTTGTCTGATTTAGTGCAGTTCCAGCTAAGCACTGCATATCACATAGCCAGACATTTCTCTTACTTAAACTAGACTTCAGCTCATTCTTAAACTCATATTACCTGCATGTTTGCCCTTCTGCATCCCCCAAATAAGAACTGATATTCAAGGAGCTGAAAAACTAATTCTTTAGTTACTACAGGGCCCTTCTGGAAATTACTTCTTCCATATACATGAGATGGCCAAAGATATAGATGGCTCTCTTAGGTAATATTGTGGACCTATGGAAGGATACTTGGTTGTCCTGCAGTTCAAATTCTACTTCAATATTGATGTTTTAAGCCTCCCTCCCTTATTATCCTCAAAGTAAACTATCCTAAGCCTATCTTTTCATTGACATATTCTATTCAGCTTTTCCTTTCCCTACCTTTGTTTTAGTAGACAAATGAGTCCCAATTTCACTGTTATCCCATTCTTCCTTTTAAAATCTTTCTTTAAAATTTATACATCCCCTTCAGCCTGGAATACCACATCTTTTCCATAAAGAATTTAGGTGCGGGGTTTGTTTGGTTTTGGTGAGGAAGGATGCTTTTATGTTGAGGCAGAACACTGCAGTTCAGGGTATTTAGGTTCTGCCCACAGGGCTTTTCACAAAGTTAGCTGGATGTGTAGCAAGTCATTACTTGACTTCTGTGGCATTGCTAAAAGATAGGGATAATACTTCGCTATATTAAGGTGATGCAGAACTAGAGTAGTGCTTTTGAAATCATACTGAAACAGTCTCTTTTCTCTCAAATAGAAGGTGCAGTGGAGGCAGTGGTTTGTTAAGCCTTATCTATGTACTGAATCTCATCTGGATTTTCCATGTTTTTGCCCTCTGGTTACATTGACTAGGTAGGAATACTGGAAACATGATTATATGCTGTAAAGTAAATGGTTCTTATTTGCTGCTTTGTCCATGAAAGCTTCCTGGAGGAGCTCAAAAGTACTTTTTGCTGTGTAAGAGAGGGTTTTACACACCAATGAACATTTTATCATCTTCACTGTCCTTACTACTACCCCAAAGTGACTTATGTGTCCACCTCTTCATCTCAACCAGGTTACCGAGGAGGCCAGCTGGGGCGACATGGCCAACTCACCTAGTTATAGCTGGTTTATGAGTTACACTTCCAAATTCATCTGTACAAGCATTAGCGCAGGGCTTGGCAAGGCCCGTTTTTGAGACATGCTGGCTCACCCTTCACTTGAAGCTGACTGCAGCAGAGTTCCCCTCTGGTCTGACTTACAAACAGGACACAGAATTACTGTGTTTGGCAGGGCTTTTTCCCAGAACAGAACTCACAACCAGTGTTTATGTAACAGCTCTATGCCCACCTTAACCTTTCTGCAACCTTAAGAGCTGCACAGCGCTAAGGTCATCCTGTTGGTGCTCCTTGGGCTCTTCTGAAACTGAGCTATGAATCAGTTGACTGCTTTCAAACATTCTTTTGCCTTTATAAAACCAGGTAAGCCACCTCTGCTTCTTCACTGTGCTTTAACTACACTTCAACACAAGTTGTGCCTAAGTAAGTGTGCACAAGAAGCAAGAATTGTATTGAGAAAAGCTATGAAAGTCTTGCCTAGTTTTCCAGGCTTTACACTCCCAACCACGCACACGTGCTTCTGTAAGCCCAAAGCATGTACTAATGGCTGGAACTAAGAGGACAAGACTCTTGGGAACATCTGGTATTACGGCTTTGATTTGGCCCAGAGAAGTCAAGAGCAGTCCTCCTCTTGAGGCTGAACACAGCATTCCCAGTGCAGGGATCAAGGAGTCGGAAGTTAAGGTGCTCTCTGTAACAGTACCATGCGCTTTATCCAGCTTATTCCAGAGGGTGGGTCTTGTGTTTATGCCAGTGAAGTCTCACCATGAAATGAGAACCCATTTCCCTTCCCTTACGTTTGAAACAATGCAGATGGGGCTTCAAGTTATCAGGCCCAAGATGTTACAAACTGATCTCATTTCTCACCACAAGCTGTGCATTCTGATGTCCCTTAGGTCAACCTTTATCTCCCCAAATACATTAAAGGAGCAAAAAATTTATTAAACTCCAGGGAGAAACTGGTTCTTTTTCGGAGAGGTTTTGTTCCCCTTCCCATTCCCTGTGAATGTCATTGTATCTGCTGTTTGCTGAGCAGGAAATGCATTATTAAAGCAGTTTCTCCTCCATAAACTGCTTTGCATCTGACTGTTTCATTGTAAATCCGGAGCCACAAAGTCAGGCCACCTTGGGATAACCCAAGGTGAAACCTGACCTGATGAAAATGGCTCATGCCTCCCGGCCTGCATTGCAACCTGTGAGAAGGGCTTTTATTATTTATTCAAAACCTGTTTAAATCCCCCTTCTTCTGAAACAACCATTTTAAAAATATTAAAACACCACGGCTAAGCTGGGAGATTAAACAAGTTTAAAGCTTATCATTGCAGGTGGGATATTAGTTCCAATAAAACGGGGAGATGGCAGGCTGCGTGGTAACTGGAGCCCCTTCTACTCAGTAACTAATCACTGAGAAAGCATTTGGTGCAGGAGGGGGAGAGCGGATGAGGGGGTGAGACAAACAATGCATCCAGGCTCCTGGCAACCCTCACTGCTTACCATGGTGGTGCACAAAAGGAAGAATGCCACGCAGAGAAGCAGACCTGGATCTGTCCCCATAACACTTGCCCTACATTCAAGCGCTCTGGGAAGCTGAAAATGTGACCTTCAGCTATTCTGTTCTGTTGGGTGATGCTGCAGCTGAACAACACTGTTCCAAAGCTGTCAAAAGGCTGTGGAATATTTACTTACATCTCTTCCATCACACATTTTCCTTTTAAATGTTTAGATATCAACACCTCTTTACTAGATCTTCACTCGTACTCTTCAAAGAGAGATACAGTATTACTGTGGGTGTTATTAAGCCAGAATTAGAGCTTCATTAAAGGGAAATGAATTAAAACCCATCAGGCTCCAAAGTTTGCAGGGCAAGGATGTCTTCTTAAAACATTCCCCCCCCCTCCCTGAGAGTAAGATTTGCTAACAGGCCATTCCTGTTCTAAGGCACCATACTTTCAGTGTTCCAGACTGTAAGGAGTAACTTATACTAACAACTTCAGCATCCCACAGCTGGATCAACTCTTACCTTCTTTCTCCAGGGTTCCCCACAGACCCAGGCTTGTATCTAGTCCTAACATGCAGGGGGACCACAAGTGGAACCACAGAACACAGCATGGTGAGCCCCAGCAAGCAGAGTGGACACTTCTAACTCTGAGGTACATACATGCTAAAAAGAAGGATTCTGCAGTGCTTAATAATGTGCTATACAGAGGTTTTGTCACAGTATAAATACTTGACCAACTGAGTGAGGAATCATTTAATGCCAAAACGAATTGTGTGGGTTGCTTGCAAATATTTTGTCACCAGCATTGAAACCTGTATATTTGGTCAATCCAGGGCGTCCTGCTCCACACCCCTCTGTAGTGGGGAGCATGTAATATTAAAACACCAGTGTAAGCAAGGTTGGAAAGGCTACATGATGGTCCCAAGTAAGTGGCAGTAATACCTCAGTAATTCAAGTATTCCAGCCATAAGGAGCTGTAGTAGGAAGATTCTACTGTGTATAAAACCCACTATGATCTAATGTAGCTGAAGATAAAAAAAAGTTTGAACCACAAGGCTACTCCTAGCCCTCACTGTTGATTTTGAACCCCCCCACCCCAACATTAAACCAGGAACTAACTCCTCCCACACTCTGTCCAGACAGTTGTTGAGAAGGAAAGTTTTGACAGCAGGGAGATGGCTTTGGACTGAGCAGCTTTCATCTGGTCATCACTGAGGAAAGTCCTGGGTGAACATAAGTTAGTTTTAAAACCAGACCTGCTTCTAACAGAAAAATGCTTGCTTTCCCATGTATCACAGGTACTTAGTTCCTTAGGCAGGCAGTGATTTGTATAAACCCAAATCATTAAATAGCCCTTGGCCACTGCTTAAAGTGAGACAAGTACCTGCCTGAGCTATGTACTTAAATTCTTAAGGGAGGAAACAAGGGGGGCAAAGTTAATAGAAACTTCAGAGCTAAAACACAAGTGTTGCATCTAGAAATACTTAGGAGAAGGAATCTGAAAACAGTAAACAAGGTGCTTTGATGTCTCAGTGGGGCCACCAGTAGGTATCAAGGACTGAAATGCATTGTTAGAGATTGATGGGAAACCCCATACAATGTTGCTGGGTTGCCTCATACAAGAACAGGGAGAGAACAGCACAGCAGTGCTGCAGAGAGGGAATGAGGGTGTGTGGAACCAGTACCAGGTAGACATGAGCATACCTGCTTGTAAGGCTACTGCCCAGCCCTTGATGGTGCCATCTGCGTCTCCTTTTCATTAACGCACATCTTGTGGGAATTGTTCAGAAACCCTTGGTTCTGATTGAAGGAGCACTCCAGCAAATAGTGAGAGAAGGTTGCTTCTATTGGGTTAAAGATTTCCATGAAATTCCAGTGAGTAGCACAGTAGTGACTACACAGGGAAGATCTGCATGGGCCACAAAGCAGCTCCATCCGTTTTCTCTTGGAGGTTGAACTTTCTACTCCTAACATTATTCGGGTACACTTCCAACTATCAGCTTCAAAGGATTGGAGTGATTACTCCATGTTTTAGGATTTTGGTTGGGTTTTGGGCTTGGGTTTTTCAAAGTCTTGCTTCCTCCAAGTATGGTCTCTGCAGTCTGGGATGTTCCCGTTTTCTGAATGGGCAGTTCATCCACATTCACTATTCCTATACACAGTTTAACTTTGATGCAGACATCATAATAGTGAAGTAGGCAGTTAATAGGTTAGTATCAAGATTTAAACATGCTTTATATCCCCAACAGTAATTATAAGCTGCAGGTATACATGAAGAGCTGAGGTAGGAAGTGATGATTATCCCCCTGCATAGAGGCATACGGAAAAACCTCTCAATCTGATGTGCATGGTTACAAGTCACCACTCTGGATTACCCACTGCTGCCCAGTTTGTACTTGAAAAATGCACAGGACCAGCCAGTCCTGAGGATCTGTAGTACTGGGTCCTGTCGTTCCAAATGTGGCAAAATAAGAGCATCAACAGCAAATACAGCACAACAGATTTGTTAGTGACTCTAATGACACCCATGACACCTGAAGATCATGGAGTTATTGACATGGTCCCCAGGATCCCACCACCGCCTTCCCCTCTCATGGCTCAGTCCCACGATTCCAAGACAACCGTGTCCTCAGAGAAAGTGTTCTTTAAATTTGTGTCTGCTTTAATAAGAGCAAACCGGATCTCTATCAGATCTCAGCCGTATGCTAAATCTCAGTCTTTTGTCAGACTGAACCCAAAATCCCTGTATTCGAACATTTATCGGGCTTTAACACAAAGGGTGCCACACAAAACGCACCCCACCTGGCAGCAGGTTCAGCAGCGGGCAGGTAGGGACCCACACCTTCAGCCCTGGCCTATCCCCGTGTGCTCATCACGGGCACTGACATTTGCAACGTGCAAATGAGAGGTTTGCACGGGGAGCTTCGACCTGCTGCGGGGAGGAGCATCCCCGGGGAGGCACCGCGGGCAGCCTGGCTCCAGCGCACCGAGGTTCGGGTGCCCCGCAGGCCCCTTTCAGACACCCCGGGGTGGGCAGAGCCCCGCGGTGCGTTCCTCGGACCCCGGCGCGGCCGCGCTCCATCCTTGGGCTGCGGCGACACCTCCCGGGAGCTGCCGGAGCTGCCCGCGGTGCTCGGCTCGGATGCACCGCTCAGACACCCTTTCCCTCGTTCCTACTGACATCTGTTTAGCTCGGGCTTCAGGGAGGCAGCGCAGGCAGTCCTTTGCTTTACTATCAGGAGAATTTTCGGATCTTCATAAGCCTTGTAGAATACAAGATCATAAGCTTCTTTTCTATGTAAGACAGCTGGAATCTGCTAAGACAGTGGAGAGAAATTGCTTGGACAGTGGTAATGAAGAGCCCCATCACTTCTTGTGCCACTGCAGAATTGTCCAAAACATGTGCCTGTGTGGATGAACACAAGCAGGTCCTGAGAACTGATCACAAATATAGATAAGTACACGCACACACTAGGAAAGTTGTTAAATCCTAGTTCAGGGCAAAGACTCTCCCACATCATGCAAAGCCTTTGTTCTGGTTATGACCTCTGGCAGGTGATCTATGAGAGTGCAAGCTGCTGCTGGGGGACCCTCTGAAAATTCTCTTTTGGTGTGAGTGGGCAAGTCATTTCCCTCCCAGTCCCTGCCTACACATTCCTATTACTGGTGTGTGTTACACTAATGGGGACAGAGAATTTAAGACCTCTGTCAAAGGCAGAGCCTTCCAAAGCCTGAGCAGCAAGGAAAAGCACAGTGTCCTTATCTTCCTAGAGATGACATGGCCTTCGCTTAGCAAAAGCAAATGCCTTTCATAGCTCCCAAGTCATACACCATCAATGGGACTCAAGTTCTCTCTGCAGATCCACCAGATGAAGAGCCTGGTAACTACAGTGCTCAGAAGCCTCAGTCCTAGCTGACTGGAGGAACTTCAGCATTTGTACACCAGCACAGATCTAAGGATGCCCAAGTATCCTGCTAAGCTCTCTCTATACAAGACCTGGAATTTCATGCAAGTGTCAGCTCCCTGGTGGTGGCGAAACTAGATACTGACAACAGGAAACAGAATTGACTTCTTTATGCCACTGCAGAGACCTCTCCTGTCAGCTCAGTTATATCCTCTCATGTCTCCTCAGCACCCCATTCCGTCCAGGAATGGTTCTTGCTACTCTTCAGAAACAAACATGGCAGTGTCATTACTGGCAGTATCACGTAAAGCAGACTAAAGACTCTTAATTCAAACTGAAATGGGATTCTAAAGTGTTTTGCAAACTTGCACACATGCAGTCAGTTGCTGTGTAGTGAACAGCACGGGAGCACTGGCTACAGGACTGTAAATACCTACTCTTGTTACCTTTTCCCCCAGAACCCAGTGTTAGAGCTGCAAGTGCAAGAGTGTTCCTAGATGCTTGTTTTCCAGTCTCAGCCCCTCCCTAAAATGGGTTCCACCCCCCCCCCCCCCCCCCTTAACAGAATGGCAGTCTTCATCCTCCTCCCTGGTTCCCATCTTCTTTGGAAAATAAACAGCTCTGATTGTTGTGCACTTGAGATTATGAAAACATCAGGTCCATTAGTATTTGGCAAAGTGCTCTCTCATTTCCTTCTGATGTAATAATTGAGAGAGAGGGAGCAGAGCCTGCAAAGATAGCACAAGGCACGAGTTAATGACCTTCTCACATCTATGTGTGGGCTCTTTTATAGGGAGCCTTTTCCAATCCCCATCTCGCCTCCACTCATACTGTTTTCAGCTGAAACACTGCTTCAATGTGGCTTTTATTATTTGATCTGATGTCCTTTGGCCAGCCTTCAGAGGCAGCTAAATGGCAGGCAGGTATGGGGGTCTAGGAGACAAAGAGCAAATGGAGCTAATGCTTCAAGAGGCCTACAGCACACAGTCGCTCAAGCCTCAGTCTCAACAGGCAAATGCCAAGTTCTTGTTGCTGGCTTTGGTTTCTGTTACACATTTAAGTTAAGGGGGAAAATGTGTCCTGCTTCCCTGGCTGGAGAGATTCTCTGGGAGACTGAAGGCCTGATAAAATCAGGACAGGGGTGGAATAATTAAGTGTAGAAAGGGATCAACTGCTGAGCGTAAATTAACCGAGGTCAATGGCTGCTACTCTATAAGGTGCTGGAGTGGCCACAAACTTACTTGGTTGCCAAATTTGTGGCTTTACATTAGGTACCTAGAGCCAAATGAAAGTGGGATAAATTCCACGGAAGGGTACAGTGTTCCCTAGCAGCTTTCTAGAGGCTTTATTTGAGTCTTTTGAATTGCATCTCAAAGCCTCCAGAGATGTGTAGCTTTCCACATTAGCATCACTGGAACCTAAGCCAAAAAATGTCATCTCATTTGAGAAAAAAAAAAATCAGATCTTAATTTGACAGCTCAAGGTTGGGGAAAATAAAGGTTACCCCTTGCCAGATGGTCTCATTTGAGTGTCCCACTTTGAAGTGGAGTTACCAGGCCTCCTGAGATACTCATTCTCCACCACACAGAAGCCTACAAACAACTGAAGTCCAAACCTTCCCAGTACCATGTGTCCCTCCTCGCACTGGATTCACAATAGTCAGCACCCTGGAAAGGGGAAGCATGGGAGGGATCACAAGTAGACCT